GGATTTTTGGACAAATAATGAATGCAACAGTATATATTCTCATGCAGAGCAAGGATACCTCTTTTGTGTTTAGAATCTAAACATGTTTAAAACTAGAACATGAAGAAAGGGTTTAGGTGTTTAATTCCTAAACACATGGACTTCTAACACGTTTAGACTCTAAGCACTTTAAATAACATGTTGAAGTGGGAAACATGTTTAGATTTAGAACATGTGAAAAACTGTGTTTCACAAATGTGTTAAGAAAAGTGTTCAACATCTAAACACGATTTTTACAGTGTAGTAAAATAGAATTTGATTGGCCGAGAAAGTCACGTGTCCATCATGTTTGCCCTGCAACAAAACGTCGTGTTTCACGATTGTGACGTCACAATTAAACGAGTGAGGAGTTAGATTGTTTATAGCGACGCTGCTAACTTCGTTCGCGCGGTAACAACAACTAAAAATTCACCCCAAAAAATCACCTTAATTAATGGAATTGCATACAGATAGTAGATTAAACGTTCTTTGTTAAAATGTTTGCACTTTTCAAAATTCGTTTATGGAAGTACAGCTAACATACGTCATGAGACGTCACAGTCTAGACGTTCCAAATGTCTCGTGCTGTTTGAAGAGGCGGATCTTAAAATTAAGTGAACAATGCACTCGCCCAACGGTCGCACCGTCAACATATTATCGTTGATTGATTGTGTCGATTTAAATGTGTAAAAATGTAATGGTGTTTGAATGTTACTGGTGTGATCACACAAACTTGTCACGTAGGAATTTTTTTTTAATGAAACGAGGCTTTTGGTGTACCTGTAACTTACATCTCTTTCATATCGTTCTCATCAAATGCATGTTTGCTTTATTCATTGGATCTCCTTTGTAATTCCTGCATTTTGGTTAATTCGGTATTATAAACAATTTATTGCATAATAGAGACATAAAGATTTCTTCGCAAATGAAAAATCATATTTCCCTCGGGCGTTGCCTTCGGGGAGTATGATTTTTCATGGGCGAAGAAATCTTCATGTTGCCTTCGCGGAATATGATTTTTTATGGGTGAAGAAATCTTCATGGCTCCCTCACTATCATGCAATAAATGCAAACTGTGAACTTGTCAAGTCCGAAACACACAAAAGGGTATCGCTGATATCATACAGAGTGTATCATTGCCTTGATCAGGCTCATAGGAAGCAAATTCAGTTTTTTTTTTTTTGGGGGGGGGCACAGCCATACATTTTCAGTTGACAGTTGAGGGGCACTACTACCATAAATTTCCTGACAAGCAAAAAAAAAAAAAGGTCACCAACTACCAAAAATTCCTTGACAAGCAAAAAAAAAAAAAAAGAAAAAAAAAAGAAGGTTATCAGACGTTTTTATTGAGGTGGCACAAGCTATAGTATCTATGTCTACTATTGTAATCTATATATCGGCAAAATTATTGGGGGGCACGCCCCCCTCGGTTCCTACGGCCATGTTGATTAAATTTAGGGTCACTAAGGAAAGAATGTTTTGACTGGATGAATGGTCTGAAAGAACATGTGTTAACTTGTCGAGTCGGTTACACATAGATGGGGTTTTCTTATAACCAGAGTGTGTCATGGTTTGATGCAAGGTCATTTGAACGAGTTCAAGGTCATCAACGGAGAAACAACATTCCTCAACTGTCTTTCTACTAGTGAGACATTGCAAGTTGATACCCCTTACAAGATTGCTTATAACCTTAGAATGTGGCATGACCTTGACTCAAGGTCACTTCTTCCTGTTCGCAGCTCCAACGGAAGACCTACTCGTTGCTTTGCAACGAGCTCTGCTCTAGTTCTTATTATTCTTTTTTTTTTTTCCTAGACGCCAACTTTGAAGCTTCATATCTTCCTCATTTCTGAACAGATTTTGTTCAAATTTTCAGAGCTTTTAGACTTTACTAAACACTCTCAGAATATTGTAATACAATTCGGAAATTACCTTCTGTTCACGAGTTATTCCCCTTTGATTGAAATTTTTATGCCTCTGGTTTCCAGACAAAGGCTCTGAAACTGTAATAATTGGAGCACAAAACCCTTTGAAATTGAAAAGAAGAAGCATTGAAGTTGTGCACATCGGCTTTTGTTTTTTGATTTTTGCATTAAAAATGGCGCTAGAGAGGGGTCAAAAGTTAGAACGCGGAAAAGAGCAAAAATTTTGACATATTTTCCTTTATATCTTTAAAACTAAAAATATTTTGTTAAAACATGTAGAATAAAAGTTGTGCATAATAGCAAGAGCTTTCCTTTGATATCATTTAAAAGGGACTGGTCCCTATAATTAGGGATCTAGAGCCCTTGAAAGTTTTCGCTTTATAACTCAGAAACGGTAAATATTTCGATATGGCTTTCGGAATTAAAGTTGTTCTTTAACACCTTATTAATCTCATACAAATGTTGTTTTGTTCGAGTATTGCGTAATATGTCGTAATATGTAGGTAAAAAGCAGGTCCCGTAAACAGGTAAGCGTTTTCAATCGGCAAGTAAATCAGAACTCTTCATGTGTATAACTTTAACAAACTTGCAATAAATTATATACCCTACTGTATTTTATGCTAATTTTCTTCTAAATAAGGTTTTAAACGTGTTCTGTGGTTCACTCATAAATTATTTTTTACAACTTTCTTTTCTTTTTTAATTTAGATTTAAAGGGAACACGTCTTCAAATAAAGGAAGGAATTAAATGTATCTATTAATTATTCGATGCTTAAAGTTTGATATTACTTATATTAAACTTTAAGCATCGAATAATTAATGAACATTAACTGTACGCATTTTACCAGTTTACGTTCTCCATGTTCACCTCGATGTTATGGTTATGTAACACAACCCGCGATCCCACGTTGCCGAGGTCACCAGGCACCTGCGGTCATAAGCCATGTAAACAAAACAAACATCTGAGAAGACAAATCCATTGTGTAGAAACAACGATTAATGAAACATTATGTTTTTTTTATTTATATCGAATCTTTAAGATAACTTAATCTCGTCTTTGATTTAATCTTTACGAATTTTAATCGCTTTCATCGACCTGGTCACTGTTGACACAACAATACGATTAAAAAAAAATATTTCTCTATCCCGTGTTATAGTATTCTATTTCAATTGTAATTGAAAGGGTGCTACGGCAAAGAATTGTATTTAGTGATACTTGTGTAAAGTATAATTTTTACTATCAGTCTCTTGTTTCTTCATTTAATTTTTCATTTAATATTAAATAAACTATATACGTAAAATAATACTTTTAAACAAACAATAATTCACGCCTTCTTACAGCAGACAGTTTATATTCCGCTCTGTCTCTGTGTTTAACTTCAAAATTTGTAACCCACTCGTCGTTCACACGTGGCCGCAGAGATTAGCGAGCCGCGGTCATATCGGTGTTAAAAATTTAATGCAATGTGTACTCATAGCGATTAATGGAAAATTGTACATGTGTTTGAAATCATTTCAAATCTTAAATATTATTTAATTTCACTCTATCTCACGCTTATTTTTATCATTATCTTATCCGCCTGTGTATTTATTCATTTTAAGTTTTATGCATTTTAATTGCCGACTTAACCACTAGGTTAATTTGCAACAATTTATTTTTCTGTCTCATGTTTTAAACTGCATGTACACATGCATAATAATTGTAAGTGGAGGTGACGTTTTCAATTCTCGGGAAAATCGAAAATTAAATTAATCACTTCTGAGTTTGCATTATTTGCTACCAAACTTACAATTGTATTGTACAGAATGATATACTTATGCATTTCTTTTATTTCGTCGAATAAACAGAATATCCCAATACACGATTTTACGGATACATGCTTGTAAGTACATGCAGTTTTACATGGAAGAGCGCCCAAAGTAAATACATCCTGAGCTTTCAGAATATACATGCTTGTGTACAAAGCAAACGGGTAATTCACAGATAAGGAAAAACAGAAAAAAACATATCTCCATAAATTAAATACACAATCGCAATGATATTTTGATTGATCAGCATACGGTTTTTTATCCTGCGTCCATGCATTTCGACTATACGGAAAAAAGATCCGATTCGGTAAAATTATAGCAAACGTGGTTGAAAATTGTCGGACTTTTTATCCAAATTAAAAAAAAAATGTGTTGGTCCTTTGAATGGCAATATATCCGAATAGTAATTAAACAGCCTATCAAATATATCACGGCGTGCATATAAGGGTGAAACTTTGTTTGGTAAATAAAGTGGTTCTTACAAATATGTCACAAATCTTAAACATCTAATTTAAATAATTATTTAATTTATCTAACAAATACTAATTTGGTTCTAAGAAAGCCACGCAGTTGTATACAAATATTCCAAAATAATCTTTCATGTTTAATGGACTGACAGGTGATCAAATTTCCTCTCATTACGATACGTACCCCCCCCCCCCCTTTAAAGAATACAATGTTTTTCTTTAGAGCCGAAAATGTCAATCGGTTGGTTTGTTCAGGTACGTATACATATAGGTGAGGGCTCGTGTTGAATTCCGAGAGATATCCACAACCTATTTTAATGTAAACCAATACTCATACGCGACATTTGTTATTCGCGAATCGTCAAATGAATGAAAAACAAGGTCTGCAACGATTAATATCTGTGACTAAGCTTTCCTATTTTATAAACTTTTTAAGGTCTTTTATTTTATTTTAAAACTTAAAAAATGTAACGATTTAATGTGTTCATTGGAGTGGTCAATTGAGCGTCGAAGTGTTTACTAATAGTTTCTTTGGGTGAGGGGAGTTACCATTTTCGGTTTTTGCATTTGATTTCCGGAATTTTGCATTGCACTTTCGACAATTAATAAATTTCACTTTTAACATTTATTATTTTCATTCCTGATTTTTGACTATATTTCCAGAATTTAATGTTAACAAAATAGATGGAATTAAAATTTTGATAGGATATAAATGGTGAATGGCTGAAAATTTATACATTTTATAATGTACATGGTACTAACGGCCTTTGAGCAATAAGGGATGGAAATCGGAGAAAATGATCAGCATTCCACAGGTGAAATGTTAACGAAAAATGTACTTTTTCTTTGTGGAAAAGAGTGAAAGAGAATAATCTAAATGTGGATACTACACTCTCTTTATTTGATACATAGATTTATTGTTCTCCAATACGTGTTGTGCGAAGGAATGATCAATTCTTTTGCCCACATTGTAATGCAGAGTAACATATTACTAGTGTTGCTGCTGTTTATTGAATTTGACAGTGTTAAATTCAACTTAGCTATATAAGTTTTTAACTGTTAAACTGAAAAAAATTAATTCATTGTAAAGATTGTAATAATTTGTCTTTAAAAAATGTTGACACACAGTTAACTTTCAGTTGAAAAATGAAAAACGCATATATTCATTCTCTTGGCCTTTTTACTTCAATTTCCGCTGACCCTAGGACCTGCTTTTCAAAATGTCGCCGGGTAAACATCGGTAACTTAAACGAGATGAAAACAATCAATAAGGCGTGATTTTTTTTTTATTTGACCAGTTTACTGCAAAGAAAAGAACATGTTTAATTAAGGTATGATTTACGAAATGAAACAGCATTTCAAATTTATTTCCAAACAGTCCCGATCAAATTAGGGTAACAACTCATGGACCTCCGAGGATATGATATTTTAGGCCCGATATCTAAGAGAGGTCCAGTGTTAACAAAATAAATGGAAGTGACTTACCTTCTCTATTTCATAATACCGCGGGTATGATTTTTGAATAAAACGTTAATTCTACGGTAATTTTTGATTTTTCATATGGAATACATTGTAAATGTGTACTAAAAGATTAATTTATGGAAAAAGACGAATAAAAATATTCTTGGACCCCGGGGTGTGTATTGGGTGTATATTGGGGGGGGGGGGGTTCCTGTCCACAAGCACCTGTGCAACATTCAAGCTTAAAAGACCATTCAAACAATATATACAAATTAGGAACAGCGCAAATCTTTTGAAATCAGAGGTAGAATCAAGTGCTATGGATCTGTCATGTTGTAAATTTTGAACTTACCTGTTGTCAGTAAATACAAAATTTACATGTCATGTTGTAAATTTTGTATTTACTGCCACAATTTATAGCATGAGATCACTCATGCTAGCACTTACCCCGACACGAGACCTTATACGGTCTCATCCAAAGGACCGATCTCCACGTTTTACTACTTATCCAAACTGAGCATAAAACATTCTCAATGAATTTTTAAATCATTGTGTTGAACCTAACAAATTATTCCGACTCGCTGTATGGTCTGAAAAAACATGGCTGAACTTATCCATTCAGAAACTCAGACTGGGATTGCTCTTAACCAGTGTGTGTTATGGTCTTGATGCAAGGTCATTTGGTCGAGTCAAGGTCACTGACAGAGAAACTGTAATTTCGCTACCGTATTTGTACTAGTGAAACATTGCTGGTATCATGCAGAGTGTGACATGGCCTTGACTCAAGTTCAAGGTCACTAAGGATAAGATGTTTTGACTGTTTGTATGGACTAAAAGAACATGGCGTGTCACTGTGAACTTTTCAAGTCGGTAACACACAGATTGGGTTTTATGACGAGTGTGACATGGCTTGTCATTTGGTCATTTGGAATGTTCAAGGTCACGTACATTCCTTTACAGTTTTTCCTAGCGAAATATTGTAAGTTGCTTCCCCTTACAAGATTGCTTACATGTATAACTTTAGAATGTTGCATGACCTTGACTCAAGGTCACTTCTTCCTTCCGCAGCTCCAACGGAAGACCTATTCGTTGCTTTGCAACGAGCTCGCTCTAGTTATCCATTATTTTACTTCTTTGGTCATTTTAAACAATAACCTGATTATATCTTGCGTATTTGTGAAAAGCTTTATTTGTCGACAGGAACTTATTAGTATTATTGTATAAGTGAATAGAAAACTCCGTTTTAGATAAAACTGAGTTTCCTCCAAAATATTTGGCATGGAATATATAGCGTCTGTTTTCAATCTTATCTTGCTGTTAACCGGGATTCAAGGATATGGTAAATATAAACATTTTGATATACACTATATGTCCCTTGATCAAATTTTTTCTATATTTCTTTCATATTAATCAGTTATATCTATACACTAATTATTTTCCATTAGATTAACAAAAGTTAAAAAATGACTTTTTCTTATGAACAAAGTCAAGGATTTTAAAATGTGCAAGGTAAACGAATTAAGTTTAAGATGAAAAATCGATGATCAGGGAAATATGTAAATGTACTTTCCAACAAGGTCATATCTTTTACTTAAATATCGGAAGAAGGTGATGTGTGTGTTGGGTGCAATTCGATTTCTTAATTGTACATGTTTTAAAAGGCCATAGAACTCCTTAGTATTGTTTCAACTATTTGTCGAGAATTATGCATCAAAGTATTTCATCAACGAAAGACAAAAATACCCCCCCCCCTCCATGTTTAATACCAGATACAAAAATTGCCAATAATTTCCTGGTTTGATATTATTAATTTTTATTATTTCCGCCTTATTATTGGTCTTGTATATGTTTGATACAAGATCGTAAAATCATTTTGTACTTAAGCATATTTACCCATTAAAAAATATTGAGCATGGAAATTTTAAAGCATCGCTGAAATGCCCCCTTAAAATACTTATGTTCCTTTAAAATATATATCTTTGTGCTCTGAAATGACATATTTTCGTGGTGTCAAATTTTTGAGGTTTGAAGAAGAAATAGATTGGGGAAGGGGGATATTTCTTGGTTGGGGAAGTACTAAAAATTTATGAATATGATTTTTTTTTCGTGGTGGTCATGAATTGTTCGTCTCTTCACACTTCGAAAACAATAAAAATTACCCCTTCCCATTAAAATTAGTGTTTTTTTTCACAGTACCTTTTTTATTACACAGGTGCATGTGGAAGGGTCACACATCTCCCATAATTGATATCTTATGATGAAATATATTGAGATAACGAACAATATTCAAGCTAAGCGGATGTGAATGTCTTTATTGACGACATTTTATTTGATTAATTTATTTATTTGATTTATTTTTTTCATTTAAAGGTGCTTGGACACAGATTTGAAGTTAATATTTTCTCAAATTTTCTGTATAATTTCATGACTTGTATGTTGCTATAGCATTTCATACTAAAATATAATACAAATCTTATTTCATCTTGAAGTTATTAAAACTTCGAATTTCTGGACGCGTTGGATTGACACATCCTTGCGCTTTCACAAACTTTGATTTTATTCTTAATACTTAAGAATTTTGTTGTGTATTAATGAAAAATATTAAAACTATAACCCAGAAAATTCAGAGTAGAAATGTTCGAAAGCAAAACCCACTCGTAGTTCCAATAATTTCCAGATAAAATAAGTTTTTAATTATATTTTCGCGTGAAATGCTATAGCAATATATAATTCGTGATATTATACAGAAAATTTGAGAAAATATTAAGTTCAAATCTGTGTCTAAGCACCTTTAAAATAATGACATTTTTGGATCAGTTTTACCATTATTTAACCTTGTTGGAACACACACACACATACCCCCCCCCCCCCTCCTACACACACACAAAAGAAATGAATGTAAATGTACTTTTTTCAATACTTCGTCAAAGGAGATTGTGAATCAATGTTAACAGGAAATGTTGTTTTCCTATTTTAGCGCTTTGTCTAATGAATATTTTGAGACTCCAGCTGATTCCTTCGTTGATTGTCGACTTACTTCCTATTATATTTTTTGCAAGTTCTTTATGCAATAGTATCAGTGAAGCTACCCTCAAAATAGTTTTAGATATAAATATCTAAAACAAAAATAAAAAAAAAAATCTTACCACATATGCGATTTAAAAAAAAAAAATCGGTACTAGAAAAATCGACTGTCTTCCAAAAATGAATGTCATTAGAAAATACGCACAAGTTGTGTTCCAAATGTAATATTAAACAAAACAATCAAAAAATTCAAAAAACAAAAAAAAATTTAAATTGCCGAAACTTGTTTACAGAAAACCTTGCACTTAACAAACCAGCAGTTCAAAATTCCACGTTTAACTCGATTTTGAATTTATCAGCGATTTTGGCCGTTGATGGTAACATTGATCAGAGAGCATCCGGGAATAGCTGTGCCAGGACGGCCTTCAAACCCGTGGTTTGGTGGAGGGTGGATCTCCAAGCTATTCATAATATATACAGTATTAAAGTCTTCTATCGCAACGACAGTGATCAGTATGGTTGGTATAAATTTATTTTATTAAGAGAAAGTTACAAGGGAAAGAGGTGTTGTTTTTATGTTCCAGAGGTTCTGAAGAAGTTGAACAATCACACAGCGATGTTTAGGCATACTATGAAGAAATCAACGGAATATAGAAGCGAAGGAATAGACTTCTTTTTAAAATAATTTATTTTGTAAAGCTATCCTAATATCACATAAATTTATTACTAATGGAAACTAGAGGTACTGTGAGCACTGAGTTCTCTAAATGATACCCTCCGCCTTCCATATGATTATAATGGCAAAGTCCATGTTTTGCTCTCGGAAACCCGAAATAAGCGTCAGATCAAAAAGTAAAATAGGATGTGCACAATGGCATTATGTATTAAAGAATCTGTGAAAGTATCATTAAATTTTATTTAGTGGTATAGGATGAGTTGCGGATAAGAGATGAGTACCCTTCAATATTATAGAAAGAATGGCAGTGTCCATTTTTTGCTATTGGAAACCCGAAATATGTGCACGATAAAAAAGTGAAATAGGAGGTGCCCAATGGCACTAAGTAACAAAGACTCTGTGAAAGTTTCATTAAATTTCATTCAGTGGTATAAGAGGAGTTGCCGATAAGAGATGGGTACCCCAAAGCGTAACAGACGGACGGACGGGCGGACGGACAGACAGACAGACGGACACCCCGATCACTATATACCCTCCCACTTTTCAAGCGGGGGGTATAATAACATAGTATAATCCCACTCTTTAATGATTTCAACTTGATTTGACAGAAGCTTAATAAATGCAAATGATGTCTACCGCATGAGGGTCATAAACAAATTTCAATATTCAATATTCACTTCACAGGCTAAGGAAGATACTCTTTATCGACATTCAAAAAAATGTTCAAGATCTTTCTAGTGTATTTCCATGCGAAAGGACTATTTACAGGGGGTATCTCGATATTATATGTGCCATCCATGTACAAAAAACACGATAGAATACAGTAAATTCAATGCACTCTTTCGATAATGAAAAAATGGCATTAAACAAAGGTTATGCATTGGTCTTAAATGGTCTAATAAACATCTTTAATTTATATACTATAAAACAACAAGATGCTTTTTGCTGTGAAAAAATCACCTGATCCACCACTCCTGCACATTAAATGCGTCAAATTTTTAAATGGTGACGTCATGTCGACAGGTGCCTTGCCATCATCTACTCGTTTACAACTTGCTGTGTGGTTTTTTAATAGCAAAAAAAAAATGCAGTGGTAAGAGTTGATGAAGTTTAATACCCTTATGCAGATAAAAATATCAAATTCTATAATTTTCTGTTCTTATGAGGAATTGTTATTCTTCTGTGATATCACAGTTAACATTTCCAGTGTAAATTACCTGTAGGCCTCGCCTTCTTTATGCAGCATTCTTAGTGGCATATTGTTTTGTCCTATCTTTTTTGAAAAAAAAACTCAACATATAATGTTTACTTTGTGGTTAGCACTTTTGCTTTGCAACCAGGAGTCTGGGGTTGATTCGATCCTGGCGTCGTGCCATGATTCACCTACCAGTACATAGGGGGAAATGTAGACTTCAACTCAATTCAAAGTAATAATGCGCTAGAATGCAGATGCCAGTACTCACAATTTTAGGGGTCTTTAGTCCACTCGTGGTCATGGACCCCTGACAAACTTCGTTTGATTTTGACGGGCTGACTGCATCGAAGACTTGACGAGGAAATTCCAAATCCTGATTGCTTTTCTAATCTTTCCACTGTAACATGTGCATTGAAGTGTCAATAAACTCTTTACTTTATGTTTTACTTTTATTAGCAGTTTATGAAAATTCGCCTGAGAATGAAAGGTTCAGTGTCATAAAAAAGGAAATGAAGTCAGTCAGGGATCCCATGACCACGAGTGGATTCAGAACCCCTGATGTTGTGATGATAGCAGATGCGGTGTCACTATATAAGTGCGATATTTTGGAAGATTCATTACTTTCAATGCCATTAAATTAAATTGTAAGTCGCCCGTGTGGCACAGTGGTTAGAACATTAAATTTTGCTCTAGAGTCGCGGAGTAAGGAGTTCTAATCTCACTGCGGGACGTGGAGAGTCCTTGGAAATAAGACCGTATAAACCGAGATTCCTTGTCATAGTACGTACTGTCACGAAAAAGATACCTCTGCTCAAAGGCAATAAGTACCAAGTCCAAATTTTCAGCCCTCCACCGGCAAGAGGTGGCGTTTTAAAATTACTGAAAAATTCTCAAAGGGAGTTTAGCAAAGAAACAATTATAAACATTAATTCTTAATGCAACCAATATATTATGAATTTATATATTGAAACTTGCCTTTTAGTGCTTTAATGGTTTTAACAGAGCCTGCTTCTTTCTCACTACATCCTAATATATACGCTTACATTATCAATTCTAGTTTGACTTTTGTTTAGGTTTTTTTTGTTTTGTTTTTTTTTTGTTTACTCTCATGCTTCTTTTGTTTTCCTCCGAAAGTTGCGAATCGCATTGAAAGCCATGCAGGTTTCTCACTTTATGTGTCAAATACAACTGGGATTAAAAGTGGATTTTTGTGTTACAAGAATGGTGATAAACTACCCCCACTTCTGTCTGAGCATGTTTGTAGAAAACATGGAAGATACATTACCTACTACAATGAACGTGGGAATGGAGTGGTTGTTCCACAGGGATCACGACCAACTACAACAATAGCAGATCTTTGTGAAGTTCAAGTGTTGGGTATTTTTTTACTTTCGATATTTAACATTTTAATAATAGCCTTGTAGGTTTGTTTCCCCTAACCTTGAAATTAAATGTTGAAGACCTCACATTTTGTAGTGCAATCGTATGATTTCTAGGTTGTAGCAAAAATAATGTATACGGGAAAAACTGTGATAAACAATGCCCAGACAACTGTTTGGAACGTAACTGTCATATAGAAACCGGATATTGTCAAGAATGCATAAAGGGAAGGCAGGGACAGCGTTGTGAGAAATGTAAGTACAGAGTAAATCAACTTGTTAATTGTTTGTATAATATACATGTAACATTTTATTTGAATAATATATCAAACCCTTAAATTTTGTATAACCACATTAACGTTTGATTGAATTTAAAAGAAAAAAAGTAAACCAGTATTTACCTTTCGATCTCCTTCAGAAAAAAATTCTTCCTTTTTAATTCAGATTTTTGGTGATTATGATAGTTTCAGAGATGATAAATGATGGTTTCTTTTCCATTTAATGACACCTCATTAATTACTTAAAAGGCAATGATGGTTTCTTTGGTCTTAACTGTACCACACGCTGTAGTGAGTTCTGTAATAACGTAACATGTGAGAGCACTACAGGGGAGTGTTTTCTTGGTTGTGCGCCTGGCTACATTGGATTACAATGTAATAAAAGTAAGTAGAGAAATAATAGTGTTTATTATCAGACTGGACTAATATATAAAGACTGCCTGTAGTTTTGCAATTTGAAGGCGAAAAACGCATTTCTTATTATTTCATGTACCTAATTAATGATTAAATTGGTCATTGTTAGATGATTTGTTTTAGAAGGTACCGTATGCTTCAAGTCAAGTGTTTGATACATATAGTATTATCTATATAAAATAAAATTGTTTATTGAAGGAATTGAAATGTATTTCTTTCTGAAATATAGTGTGCACTGGTGGGAAATATGGAAATAATTGTAGCAATGACTGTGGTCATTGTGTGAGGGGTAAATTGTGTGATCACGTGTCTGGTTTTTGTGAGGGAGGGTGCGCGGAAGGATACAAAGGTCAAATATGCAAAACACGTAAGTAAAAATTAAAGTTTTGAATAATACTCCCACAGTTTGCAAGCACCGTATATTGTCTATAAACTGTCATCGACTTTTATCATTGTTCAAGCATTATCAAATTAGTTAGTTTCTGAAAGTCAGGCGAGGAATTGCTTGGTTTGTCTTGTGGATGTGGCATGTATCCACGCTTTTGTTTGTGAAATACAATCATCTGTAACAAAGAATATTTGGGTTCTTAAGTTAAATTGAGATAAATGTAATATACTCCTCCAGGTAGGGCTAAAAATTCTGTTAAACTTTATCAATGGTGTCAAGTAATCTCGTTTAGAACGTCAGAATATAAAAAAATAAGTGTTATTTTGACACATACAACGTAATGTGATGTAATTATATTGTAATTTCTTGTAATTGCTTTAAATAGTTGAATACACAAAATTTATCTTAAATAGTGGAATAGGGGATTGAAAGTGAGCAAACTCAGATAATTGTATGTTATCTGATGTCATATTGCCTGGATTGCATTTTCCTTTCAAAATTTTAGTTATAGTTCCAGCAACTATATAGACGTTTTGTACCCTCATACATTTATGCAATTAATTCTTGGCAGTTTGATTTCAATTGTCTTTGAATGTAGTAGGATTTCAATCAATTTGAGTGTTAAATCTGTATTTTATTATTACATTTTTCAACTTCGTTCTAAGCACAGTTTGGAATAAAAATTTATTTTTTTATGCAGCTTGTAGTCATGGAGAATATGGCAAGAATTGCCTGGAAAGATGCAGCAGTAACTGCTTGAATGGAGAAATATGTAATCCTTTTTATGGAGGGTGCATCAGCTGCACCCCCGGTTGGAAAGGCTTACTTTGTAAAGAAGGTAAATTATAAAAGCGAATTTGAGTACTACATGTATTACAATTCTAAAAATAAATTAATGGAAAATTTACTGCTTATCACTCGAGCATGAAAATAGTAGTTTGTAACAAATACTTTTGTATTATATAATTATCCCAGGAATCTTATTTGATAGGGCATAAATTGGATTTGACCAACATTTTCAAACTTAAAAGTCAATGATTTAAAGTGTCACAATGTGTCACAAGGCTATTTCTTTGTAAATAAAGTTTGAAATTTTTTAAGTAAATAGATCGTGTATTCGTATGAATACTTATACATATTCCTACTCGATTAGCATGTAAACCAGGGATGCACGGTGCTAACTGCTCTAGTGTCTGTGGAAAATGCAGAGATGATCAAAATTGTCATCACGTGACCGGACGCTGTCCTGGAAACTGTACACCTGGTTGGAAACCACCTGGAAAATGTGATGAAGGTACTTTTCACTGAAGAAGTCAAAATTGCATTTATGGTTTTAAAAATCTTAACCCGAATCAATCAGAGAGAGAAAGAGAGAGAGATAATGATAACTTTATGTTATATTTTATATTTAGTCTGTAATTTGATTTGAAAAAGCGAAACATTGACACGAAATGTATTTTCAGAATGCGACATTGGGACATATGGAGATAATTGTTGGTATGGATGTAGTGCGAACTGTTATCTGGGTAATATCTGTGACAAAGGAAACGGTTCTTGTATCAAAGGTTGCAAGACAGGATGGACGTCTCGATTTTGCAACAAAAGTAAGACAACTCTCTAATCCATTAAATAAGCAATCAATTTCACTGTGAATTCTGACCATTAACTATATACTCATATTACTGTTTCATATCTTGTTTTTTTTTTTGACATTCATAAACTTAGTACAGAACAATTTATCAATTGAAAAATTGTAGTAAAATGAAATTTCACAGAGAGTCAATGTTCATATTTCAGCGTGTAAAGATGGTTGGTACGGACCAGATTGTCAACTCCGATGTAGCAGCCATTGCTACAATAACGGTATATGTGATAGGGAAACTGGATTATGCCCTCTTGGTTGTAAAGAAGGATATATTTCACCACTTTGTCAAGGAGGTAAAATATGTACATGTAATTCCATACATTACTTAAAAAATTCATTTCAATATCTAAAATGTATTATTTTGCATAATATATGTACGTTTTAACTTAGCTTTTAGAATTTGATTTTTTAAATTAGCATCTCAAAGCACTAGCTTGAAGAACTTCATTGGACCAATCATAGGGATAGCCATTGGATCATCTTTAGTTACATATTTCATCATTGTCTTCTCAAAACACACCAGAAGGTAAAATAATATTGATAAAAAGAAATAAATAATAATTAAGCTGTTGATGAAACCAGTACTCCATGTATTTCAGCGGGATTCAGATTTTTTTGTTTGTGCCTTTTTGTTTTTTTTTTCACAAATTTGTGAACATTTCAAGTAGTTACTCATAGATTTTCTTCTAGTGCTTCATTCTAATATTAGTTTCTGTTATTGCACTTACGTTTGGATACAAAAAGATCGGTACATGATGAGTTCACATTTTGCCTACTATGTGTAATAAGATTTACTGTTCAGTAATTTTTAAATTCCATCTCATAGGAAGCTGCACTCGAAGAATCCAGATAAAAAAGAAGCAAGAAATCTAAAGAGAAATACACCACTACCAATGCCTCCTTCTATAACGAGGCAAACACAGAGATATCAGTACGAACAAGCTGTAGACATACAGGAGGATGGTCGCCAGTATGAACTCTTGGAGGATGCAATCTGATATTTGTTGATTTCATCATTACATCAATATGATTATTCATTACTAAGCAAGCCTTCAAATATCAATTTTAATCAAAAACATAACTCAACACATTAATGGGTTGATTTATTTATATTTTTCATTATTTCTTAGCAAAATTTTTAAGATTTTGATTGAATTTGTTTTACTTGTGTGTTTCGAATTTTATACCACACCTGTTCAAGATCACTCTGTAAAGAATGAAACATATATTATCTAAAGTCAGTGCATATTTAGGGATTCTTGTCTGGTTTCTGACAAATAAATATATTGAAATATTTTTGCCTAAGTGTCTTTCATATTGAGATGTTTAGAATTTATAATTTCATATTTTCTTTCCTTCTTAAGTACAACATTACTGTACAATTTGACAAAGAAGTGGTACACTGAGATACCAATCCAGCAGGGACTATACTTGTTGGCGGAACAGCAGGAAAATATCACAACTGTTTTTTTCCCTATTTTACCAATGAATAATGAATTCACAGTTTTAAACAATCAGTCCTAAAAGTTTTTTTTGCAATAAATTAAATTTATAATCAGGATTTAAGTTTTATAATATAGTATATGAATGAGATTTTCCATTCAAACTGCTGTCTTGCTTGCCTTTGTAAGCTATCAATTTATAAGCAACTTTGAGCAAAAAAATTAATTAGAAGTTTTTCTGACTTATTTATTGGTCAGTATTTATTGTTCTAGTTTAATTTTGTATCGATTTATGAAGTTTTCACAATATGTGCTAAGGAGTAAAACTTTGAATATAAGAATCTTAGAAAATAACAAATATCCCTTTACAAATTCAATTACAACTTCTAGGACCTTTCCGACAAGCATAAATAAATAAATACAAAATAAATAAAAGTAAGAAATAAAATTAAAAAAAAAACAAGCTTGAATTTATTACCTAGGCGACAATGATAACCATCATCTTTATAAACAATGGAATAAATGTAGGAAGACCTCTTATCTCTAGAGTATGGAGCTCAAATTTATTGAATGTAACGATATTACTTAAAATATTCGTCGGAAGTGACAATTCACTTTTTCCCCAATTATTTAATTAATAGGAAATAACTCCATTTTGAATGAAATTTTGGCATCCAGTGATGTTAATACATTTGGATTTTTTTTAGCTTGCTGGAAAAACCCTAGAATTTACAATTGAAAAAAAAAATGAAAGATAAGAAAATAAGAAGAAATTCAGGTTAGCAAATATCGATATCAATTAAATTATTCATCTCAATTTGGAAGTGTTTTTGGTTAGAAAATCTTCTGTGGTATTAAGGGATAGAGAAAGAGCTAGATTTGTCATATTTGAATGGCCTTGATCTTTCACTTTGACCTAAATGTCAAGGTCTACGATTGAAAAATCTAATGCAGTTAATTCAAGGTCTCTAATACTAACGGATTTTTTAATAGCGCAAACATTGAACACTTTCAGAAGCAATAACTACTGAAAGGGGTAGAAGAGTGCTTTCGCACTGAATAGAGAGAGGGATGTACTAATTAAAAAATTAATCCAAGAAAATAGTGAATGTTTTGGAGGAGTAGTGATAGCAAGCTTTTATAATAATAACTCCTTTAGGGGTAAAGGTTTATAAACTCAGGGTTAAGATGGAATGCTACACCAAAATTTGATTTAATGGACTCTAAGACGTTTCAATTAAAATATGGTTTAAGCATGGAAAGAATGATATTAGCTCTTAATTATTTTATATGAGTTTTTCTTTTGTATTTTTTGAAAGAAAATGTAAAAATCATATTATTTGCAATTCAGATTCTTTAGAGTTTAAAATTTGCTTTAATAAGTGGAGGGTATAAATATCTAATAAAACATATCAAAAAGAGTTATTATTTATAAAAATTATTAAAATTATTCATAAAATAAAACACATTATTTGTTAATAGTTTTAAACCTATGGTTTAAATCCTCAAGAAACAAGTCACAAAGGGAAAGGTACGATACTCAATCATATTTTTAAAAGAAACTGAAATTGTGAAAGTTTAGAAAAAAATTGCTAATTTTCAAATTTGAACCAATCCCGATCAACGATCAAAATTGATACAACCTTCATTATTACTACAGTTTTGAACTTCGGTATCTCGAACACTGATATCTCGATACCATGGATATGTCGAAGTGATTTGGAAGTCCCAACCCCTTATTCTTTGAGTATTTTACCCTGGATATCTCGAATCCTCGGATATCTCGAAGTTTTTTCTCGGTCTCTTTGAGTTCAAGATAACAAGGTTTGACTGTAATTTACTGCCTACATGTATCTCATGCAGTTTCTACTGAGAAATCCATATGTTTGATAAGTTTAATAATTTTATAAACCATATTAAGCCAAAGGAACCTAGTATTCTTGTGAAATTGTTACATTATTTCAGTTTTTATAATTCTGTTTGGGATCAGTTTAATCTTGAGCAAGATTGGTCGAAATTTGAATATTAGCAACTATTTTTTAAACTTTGCAGTTTCTTTAGGAAATATAATTGCATTATACATGTTTTTTTTTTTTTCTATATGTAACTTTTTTTGTAGATTTTATCCATAGGATTTAACAAATAATAAGTATTATATTCATAAATTAATTTTTATTTAATCATTTGATTTAAATTTATCCTTGGTCCAGATATCCTATTTATGCAGTGACCAAGTTGGAAACTTTCCTATTCAACATGAAATCAAATAGCTAACAGGTAATTTTTATCCATTGTTTAACTTCTTTAGTTTTTTTTAAACAATTGCCTAAATATATCTTGCGTATTTATGAAAGGCCTCATTTGGCGACAGGAACTTATAAGTATTATTATATTAGTGAATACAAAACTTCGTAATAGATGAAACTGTTTGTTTCCTCAAAATGATTTCGGCATGGAGTACATATGTGTAGCACTTGCTTTAAGTTTTATCTTGCTGTTTACGGGGAATCAAGGATACGGTAAATATAAGTATTCAAATATAGTTTATAGTTCATTATTTAATTCATTTCTTTATTTCTCCAGTTTTAACATAGTCCTCAATATATGACTCTACACTGATTTATCTTTCATTAGTTAAAATGAAACTCTTTGCTTATTAACAATTTCAGGAATTCTAAAACGCGCAAACCAAGGGAATTTAGTTTGAAATGAAAAAAAGTCGATGGATAAATGGCAGTTTACTTTCCAAGATGTTCCTTTTT